GGATCTAGGATTGGAAGAGGTGAAGCTGGGGGAGGTAGGAAGAAGGTAGATGAAGGGGAAGGTGACGTTGAAGGAGGTATAGAAGGAGCGGGGAGAAGGGACAGGGAGAACGTGCAGGAAGGCAAAGGTCCAGAAGGGTTAGCTTAAAAGTATATGGAGAAGTGGAGCTTAGAGAAGGAAAGGTAGTGGTAGTGAGGTGAAGAAGGGGGGAGGGGAGGTGTAATGATAGGGGAGGAAAAACGAGGTTTCGGTCCTCATCTAAAAGAAAGGTTAACTGAAGCCTAACTAGACCTTTTTTGCTATAACTGGAGCCGTATAACTAGTCTTCATTATATACATAGGTCTAAAGTGTAACCTCAAAACTAGACCAATGCCATGCCGTACATTTAGTTCTTACGTTTACTCTGAAGTAGGTAGAATTAGCTCTCTATAACTCGTGCGACTCCCAGCGATTGATTCGTTCCAGCAGACCCATTCTATTATATAATTTTCTAACGGTAACGGTCGTTTTACATAACAGGTGTATATAGACATTCTTTTATCTAATGTTTTTATATAGCTACTTATACATTATAATAATATTGTATAATGATATTATAATATAGTTTAATAGAGCTCCAACCTAGCAACAAATCCGAACAGCGAGCTTCCTTTTTTGTTTATGATTTCAGCGTTTACGGGGAATAACCGAAATAGGGAATTCCCCCTGTGGGGGTAATCCCCAACCAACAAAGTCCCTAACCAGGGGAACGATGCGGCATGTTTCTAAGCCATATGCTCATATTACTTATAAACAACGCGACTTAATTTACTTAAAATGATTTCATGAACGTATCATTGATATATGCACAAGTTATCACTATGTAACAGGGTAGTGGTGATGATGATGATGATGATGATTTGTTGATGATTTGATTGATAGATTTGATGATGATGGGCGATGGCGATGATTAAGAGGAGGAAGGGCGCATTGAGGAGGGGAGGGCGGGGGGAGGAGGAAGAGGAGGAAGAGAAGTAGGAGAAACAGGACGAGCGGAGGGTGATGCTGAAGGGGCAAAGGAGCACGGGCGGACAGGTGTTTGGTGAAGTGTAGGTGGAGGAGGATAAGGAGGAGGAACAGGAGAAGAAGGAGGATGAGCAGGTGGAAGAGAAGGAAGAGGAGAAGCAAAGGACGAGAATAATGGTGAGGATATGTACAATATCTGCCGACACACAAGTTTGTAGCGACCAATTATTGTTGTTAGGCAAAATCTTTTACAGTGGCTAGGCGTTTCTGCTGGGCTCACAATCTGGTTTCGGTGGCAGTTGTGATGGCTAAGAAAGGGTCTTATGTAACAAGAGATGTTCAACATTTACTATATATTAAATTTCTATGTAATTATATTACAAACTACTGCTGTCACATGGGAGCCGCCACAGCGATTAAAAATTAATAAAATTAAAGCACAGCAGGAACAACGTCTAACGTGTCTAACAGTTTACAATGTGTAATTAGAATTAAACAAGTATACGCAAGAAGCATTCACTAATAACTTTGAACAGTAATTTAATAGACAATCAATGCATGATTTACAAATAAACCACGCAGGTGATATTGTATCAAATAAAATGCAGTACCAATTACCCTATATTGAATACAGGTACATATAAAATGCCATAAAAACACTGACTAAGGATGTAGTATAACTACTTATTTTCAATTTCAATATGATACAATATTCTCAATAAGATCAATAGTCTCTTCAGACTTAGTATACTATAGTACACACATTAATTTATGCGCCTACTTCATGAATTTTGTAGATTTAACTGTTATAGGCATTTTCAGTAGCACTTGGTACCTTCAATATCTTAACTGATACGATTGTACTAGGCATAACATCTAACTTTTTCATGTTTACGCTAGTAGCTCACACAGTCACCTAGCTATAGTTGACTTCCAGAACCAACCAGCTTTAATAAGGGTTGGTTGATTGCTATATGGAGATGACAAGACAAAATTCCTTTTATCGAGAGAATCAAAGTGATTGCATTCTAGACATTTCATGCGCAGCCAATGTCACAGTTACTTTTTGCAAAACATGATTATAGACATAACCAAGAATTTATCCATTGAAATATAATAATATAATATAATATAACAGATATAACGATATTATGGTATTTGTAATTATGTAGATAAATTCCTACTACAACTAATTTATGCACAATTACAATACTTATAATGTGTGTAACTAGAAAAATGCATACTTGCGAGTCTAAACAAACCTAGGTCGGCAGTTTAGGTAGCATCGTCTGCGGGTATTTTTTTCAGTATCTGAACATCATATCACGATTTCAGTAGTACTATTTCAATACGTACATTATATAGAATGCCAATATAGATCAATAGATATATGTTACTACAAGTGTAAGATTAAAAAGTCTATAACAAACTGTCACCTGAGTATTTTTTTTAGAAAAAGATAAGTGCAAACCTAAGCCTTTTGATGAAAATGAAGCTGTTCATCATGTTCGCAGAAAATACTGGTAGTGAATTTATTGCATAAATCCTATTTCGCTTTTAAAGATTTCAGTATGGTAATGTCTACGATAAAAATTGGACACATAGCAAAATACCTCTCTACATTTAAAGACTGTGGGTCTTACAGTAAGTATAAACTCTATCAATATAAATGTGGAAACAATCTAGTGATGATAACAACAACATCTGTACCTATGAACTCACGCATGAATACAAAAACATAGCCCCAAAACTCATGGCTATATAGATTAGTTTCGTATGATTTCATTTCAAGTTTTAACTTTGTTTCAATTGCTATGGATGCTGAGCATTATTTTATTCAATGATACTACTACAATTATCTTCCATTGCTTTTTCATGTTCACGAAATTTCTAGTTCTTGATGTTCATCGGTGCCACATCTAACTGTTTAGCCAACTCATACTAAAACAAGAGAACAAAAACCATCGCAGGTCAAACCAGGTAGGGCACTACAAAACTAAGCTATCTTAAACCAGTAGTCATGTTACAAAAAACTGCAACGTTTATGTATTAAGGGATATCACAGTAAGAGGATAAACAGATTGAATCACCCCATTTGAGTAAAAGCCAACCACCTCATTGTACTTGTAGCAGAGTTCGAATCTCCTGAATTTAAAGACCAACCTGTACAGATTTGTTACTTTATAAACGAGGAAATCTGCTCAAAATCTGACAAATCATTAATGATTTATCACATTGATATGTGGCAAATTTTATGGCAGAAAAATGTAATCGCCAAATCTACCCAAAAATGTAACTGTGTCTAGAAAATAGGTTTGTACACTTAATATGCATTGCCCCTTATATAACCATTCGACACAAATATGCACGATGTATGCTGATAAAGATTCACACAAACATGTACATATAGGAATAACGTGCTGCTCTATAAAGAAACGAAGTTCAGTAATTTGTGCTGTCTTCATTATTATTCCATAAAGAGGGTAGCACTATATTGGTATAAACACAAGCCGGATGAACGTGTCCCTGATGAAAGCTGTAGAGTGTAGACTCTAATTATGGCTATTTTCGGCTAATAAATCCATACAAAAATACTTCGGGAGATAGTTGTAAATCGCAGAAAATAGATTGCTCTGAAATTAGAGTCCTGTTTAAAGGCACTTTTATGCATGCAAGGTGCACTTACCATGTGAGCAATCTGGTTTGGATGGTAATCCACACCACCTTGGTTTTTGCACTTCTCCATGTGCTTTCTCTCTGGGTCTCCAGCGACTAGAACTTCAGTCTCGCCCTCTATCTGCAAATGCACAAAACGTACCAGGATCAACTCACTGTAATGTGCGAATTTGTTGTCTGAAGATCATAAATAATGAGAGAAGCATTAAAAAATATCAACCATGCGGGCCCTGACATAAAAATTATGTGCTCAGATAAAAAAAAAATCATGCAGTCAGATTAGCTGTGTAACTAAACAAATCTGCATGATTAATTCCTGAATCTAGTGGCTACAGGTGCATACTTACTGGCTGTGATGTCCTGCATATATTCATGAGGTCAGACATTCTGTCTGGGAAGCCTGGTGCGAAAGCATCCGGATCAATCGCGACAAAGCACTGGCCCTGAAGAACCGAGGCAATGCCGATATTGTGCATGCTGATACCAGGGTTCTCCCTACGTTGCGCAAACGGGGCGCGCGCGCCCCGTTTGGAAAAACTCCCCCCTGTTTGAATCGTTGCGCCCCGTTTGAATTACCTCCGCCCCGTTTAAATTACACCACAATAAAAGTTTGCCAGCGCGGGAATCGACCGCCAAGAATTGCCGTTCGACCAGGCCCCCCGACGCGTGTATTTTTACCGTACCACGCAT